TATCTGTAAACTGTGATGCAATCACGGCTGAGACATTCAGGGATCCCACTGGATCCTCTGCTTCTAGGTCATACCTAAAGCATGAGACGTTTTGTGGAGGTGGGGGACCACATGGCTGAAATCTCTAAACCTGCTGTGCGGCAATTTCATTTTCAATCTGGTGTCCTCTTGCAGTCTGGCACCCCTCAAGGGCTGGCATCCTCTTGAAACTGGTCTGCATCTGTGCTTCAGACAGGCTTCATACAGCTCCTAGTGAAAACCACAGACAGCTGCCTTCACGACTGGGGTTCAGAAAGGTCTTCTTCAGTCTGTGAAAGATCTTCCTTTTCTTTATGTGTTCTTCAGATAGACTTCGGCTGTAAAATTTACTCTCTATCTTTAGGAGACACACAGTGGGTTTGCTTTTTGGAAACAACAGCGAGGAAGGAGATTCTTTCAAGTAACTTTTGCTTTCAGTGCTGCTACAATATATCCATGAAGCACAGATAGATAGTAAAAATTAATACTGTTTAAATGAATGAAAAGGTAGCAGAATGTACAAGAACAAAAGAATACTTTCAAATTCTACCTGAAACCTGGTAACAAAAGAAGCAGCAGTTAAGTGAATGCTTTGATAATTGTTTTGATCATATTTAATGATAGAAGATAATTAAAATACATAGAGGAATTAAAACAGTATTATATTTTACATATCTCTGTGTATCTACTTATCTATTACCTGTCTACCTATCTAGGCTTTATTACCTATCTATCTATCTACCTATCTTACCTGTCTAGGCTTTAAAGGTCTCTGAGGAGGTTTTTAAGTGGAATTAGCTTTTTGAGACCAAATTTTAGCTGTAGTTCCTATCACCTGAACAATGGATTTAAGATCCCCAGAATAGTGACCTCAATTATTTCTCCAAACAAGTATATCCCGTATGCCAACAAGATAGTGAACATAAGTACTTCAGTCTTCTTTCCCCCCCTATTTTGATTTATCTGGCCCTTGAAGTTTCCCGAAAGAGCTTTCTGATGCTCCAAAAGATTGCCAGAACCCTTGCCTTTCAAAGCCCCAAAGCTGTGCCAGAGCAGTACTCCTTGTGCCTGGACACTTACAAAGCCTTTCATAAACCAGTTGTTCCAGCCGCCCTCTGACCTTTCTCTCTCGCAAATAGTGACATTTTACTGCCATCTCCATCTTCCCACATCCCACTTTTATAAGAACACACAGTAATTTGGGCGAGAGCCTTATGTCTCAATTCACATAGCGTCAAAGTCGATCTCTCCATTTCAATAGCTCTCCTAAAATAGTAATTATTGCAGGCAGAATAACGATTCCTGAAATGTCCATGTCCTGATCTCTGGAACCTGCAAATATGTTGCCTTACACAGTGAAGTGAAATTAAACTTGCTGATAAGATGACCTTAAAATAGAGATATTATCTTGAACGATCCATTGTATCTAAATATAATCATGAAGATACTTATAACTGGAAGAAGGATTCAGAAGAAGAGTATCAGAGAGTCATGTGCTTCCGTGAGCATGGCTGAAGATGCAATGCTGTTGAATTTGAAGATGGAAGAAAGGAGCCAGATCTGAGGAATGTGGTTGAAAAAGACGAAGAAACAGATCCATTCTAAGAGCCTCCAGCAAGAAATGCAGCCTTACCAGCACCTTGATTTTGGCCTGGAGAGACCCATGGGGGATTTCTAAATGAAGGAATTAAATGATTATTCATTATGAAATGATTATTATAGTAAGTTTAGTGAAGATTCACCATCTCATATAAATAAAACATTGAAGATAGAGAAGAAAAATATTTTTGCCTTGTAATGAGAACTCTTAGGATTTACTGTCTTAACAATTTTAATATATAACATGTGACAGTGTTAATCATATTTATCAAGTTGTACATTATATCCCTAGAATTTATTCATCTTATAACTGGAAGTTTGAGCCTTTTGAATGCCTTCATCTGGTTCCCCCTCCCGTACACCCCACCTGGAATAACCACAGATCTGATCTCTTTTTCTCTGAGTTTGTTTTTGAAGTATAACTGACTCATTGTTGATTCCTGGTATACAACATAGTGATTCAACATTTCTTTACACTCCAAAATGATCACCATGATAAGTTTAACTGTCATTTCCCCAGTGGTTTTGAGAAAGTTTTCTTGTATTTCTCAGCTTCCCTTTCTGCTAGATGCATGTGTGTGGCTGTCTTCTGGTCAGCGAGGTGTGAGCCAGCGTGGTGAATACCTGTGCATCCAGGCCCTTTGAGATCCCCTGTTGGGTCCTCCATGTACTGTTCTTTCTCCGTCCACCAGTTTAAAACAAAGGAATCCAGAGGCTTGGATAGAAAGACCCTGGGCCTCTGATGTATTCATCTGTCATCCTAAACTGGACTGTAATTTGAGACATAGAGTAGCAGTGTAACCTAATAATAGCTGAGTCACTGTAAATTTTGGTGTTGTGGGTTACAATAAACAACCTGCCCTAACTAGTAGACATCCTCCTTTTGTCTCTGAAGATAAGCTACCTGATCGATCAGATTCATCTTTGCTCTATGATACTGTAAATCTTAGGCATTGGAATACCTCATGGGTATACTCCGTTGGGGACTGAAGAAATGGCATTGAATCTGGGACCAGGATAGAATATGAGGAGGCCTGGATGTATAAGTCTATCTCTTTATTTTGTGTATTGAACTCCTAGGTGATGCACATGTATACTGATTTTTATGGTAGATTGAAAAGATTATAAGTTGCTAAAAATGGTGGACTAGAAGTCCTTCCATCTGTGACCATGTGACTGTTCTGCAGAGTCAAGTTGGGAGGTTTGGGGAGGGTGGAAGTGAGGGAAGGAGCTTTTAGGAAAGGTGGAGAGCAGTTTGAAAGATGCAGTGTTGAGAAGAAGACTGCTTGTGGTTTTTCAATTAAAGATGACCAAACTGCACCAAGGCTCCAGGATGCTCAAGTCCATCCTAGGGCATTCTATCAATGTAAAAGTAAAGATGGAGGTCAATGGCAGCAAACAAGGCCACCGAACTTGAGTGGAGATATCTAGAGGGCAAATAATAAAAATGTCAGTGAGGTTACCAAGTAATGGGTTAGAGATGAAAATTGTGAATCTGGAGTTGAACATATCTAAGGACACGGAAACTGGTCATATTTTACAGATTAGACTGAAGAAGCATATAACATTCACCCAAGAAAACAGTAAAAAGTGGAATGGTATAGAGGAAGGGAAACTGGTCTGTCTCCTTATTCAACAGTGGAGTGACCCTAGACAAGACACATCTCATCTGAGTCTCTGATTTCTTGTCTTCAGAGATGGGGATTTTATTGCCTGATTGCTACAGAGACCTATTGGTGGCAATCAAATTAAATATGTATGGGGACACATTTGGTAACATGTAAAATTCATTTCAAAGTAATTATTGTGTCTATAACTCTTATGACTCTAGATTAGCTAAGTAAGCCAAGGCATGACTTGGCAGTCAGTGGGAAAGAATCCAGGGTAGAGTACAGAAAATAGACTTTGAATTGTATACATGTGTTGTAAGGAATAATCATATTATTTTTAAAAGGGTTTTTGGATCATCTCTCTGGTGTAGACTTGGAATAACACTATGTAAAGACATGTGAAGGTAGAATAGATTTATTGCACCCACAAGTTCTAGAAAAGGGAGGCATCCCGTGTAGGGAGCCTTGGGAAAAGCTCCGAGAGAGAGAGCTCAACTAAACAGGTGGGGTGCTGAGGGGGTTGCTGTAGGCAAGTGCCATCACTGGAAGTCACAGTGCAGTAGGCCAGCAAAACGGGTAAGGGGGTGTTTGAATGGCAGGAGGTCACACTTGGGGAGGGCAAGAAAGAGAACTTGGGGCAAAGACCAGCATTATCACACTGGCGTATCTCGCTCCCCAGACAGGATGCTGACAGTCAGTCTGTGGGATGTTGTCACATCAAGAAAACAGGACATTTAAAAAGTTTATGGTACAATGTGCCTGTTCCATTGGATTGCCAGCCTTATCAAAGTTCCTACATCTCAGGGCTTCCCTGGCGGCTCAGCGGCTAAGACTGCTCCCAGCCTGCCAGTGCAGGGGTCCAGGTTCCAGAAACGGCATTCCACATGCTGCAGCTAAGACCTGGTCCAGTCAAGTAAGTAAATATTCATAAAACGAGAAGCTCCTTTGTCTCATTTCTCAGTGGTGAGTCAGAATACACAGTGAAAAAGCAAAGCAGGTAAGGAGATGTTTTTCATTCCAACTAGGATTTTGCCCTAATGGAAGTTGGCCGTCAGACTGACAGTGGACACAGGCTGCTTTCTTTTTCCACGTGTCTTATTAGCTGCTTACCAGAAACTATCGTTTACCCAACCACTGGTCTCATATGGCTCAGAGAATAATTCAGGTTAAAAAAATAAGTATAACCTTATAATGAAAAGCTTTGACTCTGTGGCCAGGCTGAGTGGGTTCAAATCCTAGCTCCTCCATTTACTCGGTGTGAATTATAAGTGAAGTTATTTGATTGCTCTCAGTTTATTCATGAATAAAATGCGCATTATTTCACATTTCAATTCACAGGACTATTGTAAGGATGAAAAGAGTTAATATATGTCACATACTTGGAAGAGAAGTGGCATATACAAGGTAGTTAATGAATATGAGCTATTATACTTTTATAGTTATCGTTATTACCAAGAGAAGAATTCTAACATGGGTCCAAAGACCTGAATTCTTGCTTATACTTGTCAGGTGAAAGTGACAGAAACAAAATCAGGCTACATTAAACAAACTGCAGAAGGAATTTACTGGCTTATATAACTTACAGATTTCAAGAGTAAGTCTGGGCTGGCTGGGGCGCGGGCGCGGGAGGAGCTCTCCTTTTCTCCGCCTGCACCGCGGCCCCAGGGACCAGTGACAACGAGAGACAAAGTGGCATGAGACGTTGGACTGTGCCCTGCATCGAAGAGCTTCCTGGTCGAATTCATCCTTAAAGAGACTGAAGTGGGTTTCAGGATGGCGAAAGCGGAGCCCCCGTGTACTTCAAAGGACTTGCAGGAGCTGCAGAGGAAGCTGTCTCTGCTGAGAGCGTCTGTCCAGAGTAGCTCAAAGGTGGTTTCGTTTATGAAGTCTCCAGCAGGTCACGACCTGGACCGGCATCCGTTTCTGACCCTCACCTTGCAGGCATTTGTTGCAGTGTCAGCCGTTCCTGTCGGCTTCTTCCTGCTTCTCCTGGTGCTAACCTCCCTGGCTGCTTCTGTGGGAGTCTCATTCCTGGAAGGACTGGTCATCTCTGTGGGCGGCCTCTCGCTGCTCTGTGTCCTGTGTGGCTTGGGCTTTGTGTCCCTCGTCATTTCAGGGACAATCAGAGTGTCCCTCATGGTGGTCTCCAGCCTCATCAACTACTGGTTTTCTCTTAGGCTATTGCCACAACACAGCTCCAGCGGTGACTGTCCGCTGGCCATGAAGTCTGCACATGCAGAGGGGCTCCGCCAGGAATGACCAGCTGAATGGAACCAAAGGCTTTATGCAAGCACCTCTGGATCACTGTTGGATCATCTTTGCTCATTAGAATTATGACTTAGAAGGGACTGGGTAGTTAAACACTTCCTGGAGGTGTGCTCTAGCTTTTTCACTTTTTTGTTGGGTCCTACAATAGACAGTTTTGGAGATCTTGTTGCTCTGGGTCAGTTGCATCAGCTGACCCAGCCTCACCAGGAGAGTCAGCAAAGAATCCCTCTGGCTTGGCAGCTCTTCGAGCCTCTCATCTCCTCCCCAGAGATGCAGACCTGACCCTGGCAAGGGCCCGAGCCTCTGCAGGCCGGCGACCTGATTCCCAAAGGCTCAGATCTTGTATCTGAAGTCCAGTTTGGGTAACCATAGTTTTTCCTTTTTCTTCCTTTTTGATGAGAGCTGCTTATTTCTTCACTCATTTGAAAAAAGAGGTGGGGGAAAAATCCAAAACAGAACAAGCTATTCTGCCTTATGAGCCTTTTATCAGAAAGATAAACAGCATTTGGGAATAATGGCCTCTCAGACAAAGTTAGAAAATAGAGTCCAAACTTATCCCTATGGCCAAGAGCTTTTTTCCTAAGTCTAAAGGTATCGTTTCCACCATTGAATACTGTTCAGTGATGTTACTTTTTAAAATATTTGCACTTGACACTTTTGTATTGTATTAAGGAAGTTGTATTGTTAAGCCATTTCTTCAAAAAGTCCTATGCAAATGCTAAACAGCTACAAAAATTTTTAAATCCTATAGGATTTCTACTTCAGTAGTTTATTTGCACTGGTACTTTATTAAATAAATATTTATTTAGAAAAAAAAAAGAGTGAGTCTGATTTTGTGCAGTTAGATGCTGCATTCGGTGCTTCCCTGTGGCTCAGATGGTAAAGAATCTGCCTGCAACGCAGGAGACGGTTTTGATCCCTGGGTCAGGAAGATCGCCTGGAAAAAGGAATGGCTACTCACTCCAGTATTCTTCCCTGGAAAATTCCATGGTCAGGGTCTACCATGGGGTCGCAAAAGAGTCAGACACCACTGAGTGACTAACGCTTTCACTTTCAGATGCTATAATACATTCAGGAATTTAAATGATGGCCTCGGATATCTCCTTTTCTCTCCTTTTCTTGCATTGTTCTCCTTTAATTGGGATTAGTTGTTAGGCAGACATTTTCTCTCTGACATGTGGTGACCTTCGGTAGATCTATGTTTCCAGCTAAGCAACCAGGAGAAAATGAAATCACCTTTTGCTTGATGAATCTAGCCGGAGTTAAAAAACACACTATGAATCTGTGAGTGGTTTAGTCACTTTAATACTACCTGATCTGAGAGAGGGAGTGTGGTGGTTCCCCCACATAAAATCAGGGTATTATTTTAAGATAACTGATGCTGAGCAGACAAAAATACAGGAGACGGCTTGCTATAGACCCAGCTCTGAAATTTACTAGCAATACAACCTTGAACAAGTGACCCGAGCTTTTTGAGTTTTAGTTCTTCAACTATATAATGGTGTTAATGCCAGCTCTATCTAATTCACTATGTCAATAAGAGGGTTAAATAAAAGAATGTGAGAACCCTTTGCAAACAGCCCTATCTGAGCATAGGGAAGCAATATTATCTTTATTATCTTCTGCTTGACTTTTCTGGAGTTTAAAGCATCTATTACCTCCACTATCTTCTATTTAAATTGATGTGCTAAAAAAAAAAATCCTTCTTGAATCCATTCAGAAAAATATTAAGCTAAATAAAAGGCTGCCTGGACTTCTGTAGATTCTATTAATCACATCAGCCCAACTCAGCACGCTGTCATTTATCATTACTCTTTGTTGATTACACGTCAGCCAGTCTTCAGTCCACTTCAAGGGAGCCCTACCAATCCTAATTCATTCTAATTAGTGAGACTGCATCTCTGTGACAGAGCAGGAGACATTTTGCTCAAGACTGTTTTTCCCACAGTGTAGTAACTGCATTCCTTCATTTTGTCTAGTCTGCTAATTGCGCTTAAAATGGAACTTCAGTTTACATGTTGCAATGTGCTTTATCCCTCAGAGTACACTCTCAGGTAAAACTGATCTAATCTTTTTTTTTTTTCTTTAAAAAGTATTTCATTTCATTTTTTTTTGTTAGAAATGGAAATGATGAGTATCTGTAGTTCTAAGGACTGCCCTCTTTGACACAGAAAGGATGTATTAATATTACAATATAAGCACCAGTAGCCTCTTTGGACCATCTCATCTTACTGTAAGCATAATTGTAGATGAATAGTGCTTTTCATGAAAAAAAATGATTCTGCAAACTGAAATTGATCCAATCACTGAATCCTCCTCACCTAAGAATCCTTGTGGGGTAGGTTTTATACAGATTAGGAAAAGGAGGTCTGAGAACATGTGCATTTAGCATCACACAGTTTGGAAGTGGTAGAAGCAGGACTCAGACACATCTGTTAACGGCAGAGGTCTGCAGCCACCCCGCATTCCCAGTGAGAAGGGCTGGGGGGTAAGTTCTGCTGGCTATGGGGCAGCCACCGCTAGCTGGCATTTCTACTCACAGCAGGCGGTTGTGCTCAACAACTGGCATGCACAGAGGTTTCAGTGGCAAGGGCAGGAAAGGGGATTTGTCCTGCTCTGGGAGCTTTGGATCAAGTCATGGTGATTCCGCCCTGACTCTTGCCAAGCCTGGAATGGGAGGTTCTTAATTCTAAACATATTTTCAGCAATTTTAAGGAGGTATGATTGACATCGTTGTCTACGATATTTAAATCATACTGCTTGATAACTCTTGTCATATTTAGGCACATACGAAACCATCACCAAAATCAAGATGATGAAAATACTCTTCACCCCCCTTCCTTAGTCCTTCTGTCCCTTGAGAATCCCTTCTACTCTCCCCTCGCACATCACGCCCCGTACCTCCAGGCAAACAGTGATCCACTTTCTGTTTCTGTAGATTAGTTTTCAATCTCCAGAATTTTAGTAAATGAAGTCATACGTACTTATTTTTCCTTCTGGTTTCTTTCACCTGGCACAATAATTTCGAGGTACATCTGGGTTGTGGCATGTATCTATACTTCATTTCCTTATATTGATGGGTAGCATTTGGCTGAGTGAATATATCACAGTATCCATTTACCTTTCTGTTTAATTTTATTAAATATAGTTGATTTACAGTGTTATGTCAATTTCAGCCGTACAGCAGAGTGGTTCAGTTATACACACATATATATATATATTCTTTTTCATGGAAATTCCTGGCGGGCTACATATAGCCCGTGGGGTTGCCAACAGTCAGACATGACAGAGCGACTAACACACATATTCTTTCTGTACTCTTTTCTGTTATGATTTATCACAGGATAATGAATATAAACCAGGGTGTTGTACAGTAGGATCTTTATTATTTCATTTTTTGGGGCTTACTTTGGGTTTTGTTTGCTTTCTTTTTCTGGTTGCTTCAGGAAGAAGCTGAGGTCATTGATATGAGACTTTCTTCTTCTACAAGTGTTTAGTGCTAAAAATTTCTGAGTCTTGCTTTAATTGGATTCTACAAATTTTGATACATTGTGTGTGCATTTTCATCCACTTCAAGATACTTTTAAGCTACCTTTTTTATTTATTTTTGACTCATGGGCTATTCAGAAGTGTGTCACTTAGTTTCAGAGTATTTGGTGATTATCCAGAGATCTTCATGGTTTTGAAATTTAATATTTAATTTTTATCAGACAACATATTTTTTATGACTTGAGTGATTCATGAATTTATGGATTCTTGCTTTACAGTCCAGAAAGTGGTCCATTTTGACAAAATTTCCAAGTTTATTTAAAAAGAATGTGCATTGTGCTGTTATTGGGTGGAGTGTTCTATAAGTGTCAATTGGATTTAATGTATTGATAATATGGTTCCTTTTTCTCATTCATTGCTGAATTTTGCATATTTTTATCATTTATTGAGTGAGTGCTAAAATTTCCAGATATATTGTGGAGCTGTTTTTTCCCTTTGCACAAAGTTCTATTCATTTTTGCTTCAGCTGAAGCACTATTATTAGTTATAAAACCTTGTAGTACTGTTATGTCCATTTAATGAATTGATCACATTTTGTTATGAAATGGCACCCTTTAGCCCTAGTAATATTTTTTGCTTTGAAGTCTTCTTGTTTTATAATAATATGGCAAGTCCAAATTTTTGTTTTGATTACTGTCAGTATGTATAGATTTTTTACACCCTTTTACTTTTCATTTATATTTACCTTACTATTATTTCCAATTACTCATTTTCTTTTTATATGAGTATTAAATATTCTCTATTCTATTTGTTTCTTATCTATGTATTCACTTTTCCTACTTATTTATTCTTTTAAAGCATAATGTGAGAAAATTGCTCTTTATATTTTGACTCATTAATTTGTTCTTAGTGTATTCAAACTAAAGTTTATCTGCATCCTTAATGAAATGTTTTAGCGATTGGATCTTCCTTTTCAATTCCTTCCTTATAAGTATTCATTCTTGTTAACTTGTAGATAAGTTCACTCCTGTCTTTCCCTGAAGATACTAGATGATTTATTTGAAACTTCTTTTCATAATATTCTAGAATCTGTTTCTTATTTGTACATTATATTGTTGATTTTTTTTTTTAGTAATGACCCATGGTGTTATATTTTCTCAGGTATTTTGAGATTCTCAATTGTTTGCATTTTTTTCTTTTCTTTTTTTAAGAAAAATTGTCCTACTGTTTTAGTGCAGGATCAGCTCTAGATTCATGGAAGTAATTTATGTTTAGAGGTGTACTTCTAGTTGAATTCCTTTTTCTAGAACTGCATCTCCATTTCTAGTCTGGAGAGGAATTATTTTCTCCAGAATGCCCTTCAGTCCAAAACATGATGGGAGCTTAATGAAGTAGAGTTGCAAGGACATGCCCCCCAAATAGTCTTGTGCTGTTTAGCTCCCCATGCATTTTTAAGTATAAAAGATTTGAAGTTGCTTAGGATCTGGTTGTTTGGAAAGCTG